AACCAAATCAATGAGACAATACGTAGCAATAAATTTTCTGAATGTGCTTAATATTTCTTTGATAGTGTCGAGTATTTCTGTGAATGTTCTGAGTATTTCTCTGAATGTGTTTAATATTTCTCTGAATGTGCTTAATATTTCTCTGATAGTGCCAAGTATTTCTGTGAATGTTCTGAGTATTTCTCTGAACGTGCTTAATATTTCTCTGAATGTGCTTAATATTTCTCTGATAGTGCCAAGTATTTCTGTGAATGTTCTGAGTATTTCTCTGAATGTGTTTAATATTTCTCTGAATGTGCTGAATATTTTTCTGAATGTGCTGAGTATTTCTGAATGTTCTGAATTTCTCTAAATGTGCTTAATATTTCTCTGATAGTGCCAAGTATTTCTGTGAATGTTCTGAGTATTTCTCTGAATGTGCTTAATATTTCTCTGATAGTGCTGAGTATTTCTGTGAATGTTCTGAGTATTTCTCTGAATGTACTTAACATTTCTCTGATAGTGCTGAATATTTCTCTGAATGTGCTGAGTATTTCTCTGAATGTACTGAGTATTTCTCTGAGTGTGCTGAGCTTTTCTCTGAATGTGCTGAGCATTTCTCTTAACGTGCAGAGTATTTCTCTGAATGTGCTGAGTATTTCTCTGAATGTGCTGAGTATTTCTTTGAACGTGCAGAGTATTTCTCTGAATGTGCAGAGTATTTCTCTGAATGTGCAGAGTATTTCTCTGAATGTGCTGAATATTTCTCTGAATGTGCTGAGTATTTCTCTGAATGTGCTGAATATTTCTCTGAATGTGCTGAATATTTCTCTGAATGTGCTGAATATTTCTCTGAATGTGCAGAGTATTTCTCTGAATGTGCAGAGTATTTCTCTGAATGTGCAGAGTATTTCTCTGAATGTGCAGAGTATTTCTCTGAATGTGCTGAGTATTTCTCTGAATGTGCAGAGTATTTCTCTGAATGTGCTGAGCATTTCTCTTAACGTGCAGAGTATTTCTCTGAATGTGCAGAGTATTTCTCTGAATGTGCAGAGTATTTCTCTGAATGTGCAGAGTATTTCTCTGAATGTGCAGAGTATTTCTCTGAATGTGCAGAGTATTTCTCTGAATGTGCTGAATATTTCTCTGAATGTATTTGGTGTTTCAGCACTCACTTACCCTTTTGCCCTTGAATTTATGGGATCTTGGTTTGTCTTTTTCAGGAAACAATTTGTCCAGTCTCTCATCTCTGTCAGTAGTAATACCATGGCATGATGTAACAGTGATTAAATCAACACGTAATTTATCTAATGTATGACATAGTAGCTCACGATGATAGTATATACTGTCCACTGGCCTGACAATTAGAAAGTGCAAATAAAAAAAAATTTAACAGACATTATATGCAGTGCCCTACCAAGACAACAACTCACACACACATACAACACACATTATAATAGAAATCTCATGATAATAGAATAAAAGATATTTTTTTAAATCATTTTGTTTAATCATCAGAGTCACCATAATAAATCTTATGTGAAAGGCTGTAATATAATGTGATGAAGATCTCACACAAATTGAAGAAGCCGTGCAAGATATGATGAATTACGTTCCTAGAAATCTTACGGAAATTAGTGAGTCTGTGAAAGAACTAATTTGTGTCTTTTGTTAGTGTCCTTGCTTATTCGCAAAGTGATTTGTGTTTTTGAATGTGGCAATGATCGTGTGAATGACCTGAAATCCTAGTTGCTGCCTTCAGCAAACATAGCCTAAACATAAAAAGACCTGAAATTAAGTAAATTAGAATATCCAAGTTGTCAAGAGAAGCAACATTTGCGTTATCCAAATCAATAGTTAATACAACTTAATGGAACACCACAAAGATTGAAATTTCACCTAAGAGAAGAAAACGTAAAAAACTAATGTCAAGTAGTTCTTTAATTCAATTTATATGAATTCATTCAGTCTAAACATAAGCTATAATGTGAAGTGGTTCTAAATTGAATTACATGTTGTAAATGACTGGATTCCCTCTAAGAATTCTCAGTGACTATGTTCAATTGATATTAACACCCAGTAACAAATGTTTTCCTGCATGCAACTTAATCAGCAACAGTAGATTTTGCACATAACACTAAAGTGCTGCTTTTTATTACTGTAATTACTGTACAGTATTTGCTCTATTAGTAGCGTATACTCTGACAGGTAATTCTATCGTCATATTTTAATGATGCAGCATACATACATTCTACAGTAAATGTAATTTTTTGGTTTACATTTAAATATGATATTTATAATTATTTAAGGGGTCATGACCTGCATTTTCTTCCAATTTATTTGCATTTTTAAATCAGAGAATAATTTTGTGGTAAAACGAATGCGCTGATAAGAAATAAAAACACAAGGTAAAATGTTAAAAACATGCTGTACTTATTAACATCACCTAGACAGCTGACTATGTATGCTCATCACAAGTAAATGTGTAACAGTCTGCATGAGTTATCAATTTTAAGAAATATATATATAGTTTGATCATGAAATATCATGTCATGTCAGAGATATGGCTCTGGAACTGCATTTTATTAAAACAAAAATGGCTGCCAGGTAGGCATTTTGAATGTAATCTGAAAAACAAAATGTCATGCATGTGTAAACAAGATCTAGACAGTTTCTATTCATGTACTTGTAAATATCACCTAGACAGCTTGCTATCATGCAGACAGTTGGAAGATTAGTTTATTGAGAAGTACTGAGATTGTGAGTTTGACTCCCATGATGGGAAGTGTCCATAGCACACATTTAAATATTCAATTCATAACATAACAAATGCAAGACTCACCTGTCATGTGTAAACAGTTGGCAATCAGAAAAGTGTTCGTCTAATTTCTCAAATTTATTTTGGTAATCAGTGTATGACATTGGATAACAGAATGCAAAGTATGTCGCACCTCCTTTGAATTCAAAACGATATGTAAATGACAAAATAAACTGACCATCGACATTCTGTGGAGATAAAATAGGAAATAACTTTTCTGATATTCTGATAATCATTTAAAGATGAACAACAACAATTATAAGTGACATTTTGAAATTAACTGTTATGTGTGTGTATGACTCAATGTAAAACATTTGTCTGAAAT